TATATATATATATATATATGTTAGGGTGTACCACCACTGGTATTAATATGTAGGGACCCATATACCTGTGAAGAATATAAATAAACTAGTGTACTCAGAGAAGACCTTGTGGATTCTCACTGAACACTTTAATCTTTTCTTCTCCTACCACCCCTATTCTTTTTTTTATATGTTGTATTTTATTGCATTGCTACAGTTTACAGAAAACACACACATATATAACATATACAATCAGTGTTCGAAGACCTTGTCCAGCTCCTCGGGGGTCGGGTGCGTACCCAAGATACAGCACGCATTTCCTCTCTGAATCGCAACACTGAGGCGCTGGAACAGGAAACTGGCCGCTCTTGAGTCTTAGGTTTTTCCAATGAGTTCCTCACCCACCTCCTTTAGGAACTTAAGTGCACATTTACCCTAGGCGCCCAGAGTCTCAGAGCCTATCGGCACGAACCTGTAACAACGTTCTAGGTCCCTGTACTTGTTAGTTTTCTGGGTCTCCCTGAAGGTGGCCGCCCCACCTCCCTCAGCTGTGCTGTAAGGTAGATAGGTATCAGCCAATGTAGATGCACACGTGTAGTCCCACACGACCTGTTTACCTTCCCTCCATGGCTGCAGGGTGACTCCATCTGGGCGTTTTTGGCTGTTGTCAGGTCTGCACAACTGAGGTTCCCTTTGTGCTGGACACCCAGCTGTAGCCAAACTTCTCTTGATGATGTCATTGACTGCTTCATGTCTGGCAATCTTTCCCTGTGTCTTACGACAGATGAGACCATGGCTGCCGTATTGGTCTGCCCGTGCATGGCCGCAAATACACCGGTGCTCGGTGGAGATAGGGGCGGCAAGGCGCAGGGCAACACCAATACTTAGGGTCCGATGGTCCAGGCGGGTGCCCAAGGCGGAATTAGGGACTGCCAACAGGAAGTCCCCGGCATGGGGGGCTTGCACAGCTAGGAGACGCTTTGTCCTTCCCTGGAAGCTGCCTCCAGCAATGCTGTGGCGATGTTCTCCACTATGGGGCTATCCCATTTGACCTGTTTGCAGTCATTTGGAAAAGTTGGTCGAGGGTGAGAGTTGGCAAGAGTGTCCCACTGACCGGCTCCTTCCGCGAATTTGGGATCATGAATCCCAATGGAGTCTCTTAGGTATTCTGGTAGTATTTCATTCACTAATTCACCTGTAGCACTGGTCGAGGATAAGAATGCCGGCAATGCTAACTGTGTCGCCTTGCGAATACCTATACCCCCGAGTCTAACTGGGAGCGTTGCTTGGTCCCACTGGTCATCTTGCAGGGAGAGGTTTAACACTTTCATGGTTATTGATTAGGAGTGAGTCATATTAGTTAATTTTGGGCTGTGAGAGGGAGCACACCTTAGGAAATAGGTAAGTCTTGCCAGGCACCTTGTGAGAAGGTGAAGCATCGTGGGCGTCCAAAGCCCCTATTCTCTCCTCCATCCTCCTCAGGTCGTTCAGCTTTTCTTCGAGGACTACCTCAATGGCGCTCGAGCCCAGAGGTGCCCCTAGCAGCACACTGTCGGTGAGAAAGTAATCGTGAGCATTCAATGCTTTGTACATCAGCATACCAGCATATATATATATATATATATATATGCGAACAAGCCTGAATGGTCCCCAGGACATATACAACTGAAAACTCACACCCCAGAAGTGACTCGAACCCATACTCCCAGAAGCAACGCATCTGGTATGTACAAGACGCCTTAATCCACTTGACCATCACGACCGGACATAATGAGGTGATAGCCGAGGCTATTTGAACCACCCCACCGCCGGCACTCGGATAGTTATCTTGGGCATAGCATTTTACCAAATCACCTCATTCTTTGGGGCAACACGTGAGGAACACAAATGCGAACAAGCCTGAATGGTCCCCAGGACATATACAACTGAAAACTCACACCCCAGAAGTGACTCGAACCCATACTCCCAGAAGCAACGCATCTGGTATGTACAAGACGCCTTAATCCACTTGACCATCACGACCGGACATAATGAGGTGATAGCCGAGGCTATTTGAACCACCCCACCGCCGGCACTCGGATAGTTATCTTGGGCATAGCATTTTACCAAATCACCTCATTCTTTGGGGCAACACGTGAGGAACACAAATGCGAACAAGCCTGAATGGTCCCCAGGACATATACAACTGAAAACTCACACCCCAGAAGTGACTCGAACCCATACTCCCAGAAGCAACGCATCTGGTATGTACAAGACGCCTTAATCCACTTGACCATCACGACCGGACATAATGAGGTGATAGCCGAGGCTATTTGAACCACCCCACCGCCGGCACTCGGATAGTTATCTTGGGCATAGCATTTTACCAAATTAACACGAATTTTCTCAATCTTTCGTACATTTCTTTTCACTGTTGTGAGGTAAATCAAAAATCAATTCTCCAAAATTCATTTTTATTTCTAGTCTGACGCGACACAAGCGCGTTTCGTAAAACTTATTACATTTTCAAAGACTTTAGTTTACAAATACACAACTGAATAGAACTTACGCATCTCCGATTTTATATCTACATTTGAGAGAGGTGGATGGGGTGAGTTGGCATTAATAGGGTATTAATTTTCATCAACACAATACAGAACAAGAGGTGGTATTAATAGGGTATTAATTTCATCAACACAAGACAGAACACGAAACAATGGGTATTGAATAGAAGTGATTGTAGAAAGCCTATTGGTCCATATTTCTTGATGCTTCTATATTGGAGCGGAGTCTTGAGGTGGGTAGAATATAGTTGTGCATTAATTGGCTGTTGATTGCTGGTGTGTGACTTCTTGATGTGTAGTGCCTCGCAAACGTCAAGCCGCCTGCTATCGCTGTATCTATCGATGATTTCTGTGTTGTTTACTAGGATTTCTCTGGCGATGGTTTGGTTGTGGGAAGAGATTATATGTTCCTTAATGGACCCTGTTGCTTATGCAGCGTTAAACGCCTAGAAAGAGATGTTGTTGTCTTGCCTATATACTGGGTTTTTGGAGCTTACAGTCCCCAAGAGGGCATTTGAAGGCATAGACGACGTTAGTCTCTTTTAAAGCGTTCTGTTTTGTGTCTGGAGAGTTTCTCATGAGTAGGCTGGCCGTTTTTTCTGGTTTTATAGTAAATTGTCAGTTGTATCTTCTGATTTTTGTCTGTAGGGATAACGTTTCTATTAACAATATCTTTCAGGACCCTTTCCTCCGTTTATGAGCTGTGGAAAAGAAGTTCCTGTAAAATAGTCTAATAGGGGGTACAGGTGTTGTGTTAGTTGTCTCTTCAGAGGTTGCATGGCGTTTCACTTTCCTTCTTATGATTTCCATCACAATTAATTCATGAAAACTTATATATATATATATATATATATATATATATATATATATATATATATATATATATATATATATTATATATATATATATATATATATATATATATATATATATATATATATATATATATATATATATATATATATATATATATATATATATAGGAGGGGGACGGACACGTGGTGAGCAAGGTCGTACACTTCAACCATGTTTTTGTGGATCAAGATACATGTGCCAGCCAAGACTTGACCTATACCTGAGTAACCTGAGTAACTTGACCTAAGTTACTCAGTCACAGAATGATTCTGTAAACTCAGAAATATTCAAGAACAGATGGTACTTATGAGTAGGCTGTGTTCCACAAGATTACACATGTAAAATAAATTATAAATTTAATCATATGATGTCATTCAAAATCAAGACGACTTCGAATGTACAGTGGGATCACTGTCCAGGGTCATAGTGACTTGTAACTGTTGAGTTACTGGACATCAACCCAACTGTATCATCATGATCGACTTAAATCGAATGATAAATTAACTGTAATTACTCAGAATTATAATATTGGTGAAGTTTCAATTTACACTGTTGAGCAGCGACTCTAGATGGTCCTGTGCTCTGTTAAACAGTAGCCTTGTTTTCTGAAACTGGTGGTAAAGTTGACTCTGTTGAACTTTCATGTTCAACTAATTCTAGAGGTACCAACTTCTCCAATGTTTTCAAGGTAGTAGTGCCTCGATACAAAACCTTTACTATTCGTAGTGTCGTGACGCTGAACCCCGGTTCATTCCGAACACAGCGATTACACAACACATAACACCTTGCCTCAGCAACCGTTTTCTACCACCTATACTCCTACACACACCAGACCCTTGAGGCGTACCACTCGGTTTGTACTGGAACACAATGAATGAACATATGGAATGTATTTAAAGGCCGTCGGGTTTTGTCATTTAATTACAAAGAATAGACTCTGACAAATAAATACATATTAACATACTCTATTAGGTCAATACACTTCCAATACCCATAGACCACTTGACCTCCGCGATCACCACCCACACTCGTAACTTCCGCCTAAGTCCCTAATACGGAATGATTACTACAACGCTCCACACCCGGTAAGTCTTTCATTCGATACTCACATACTGCAGACTTAACTTCGTCACTAAGATCACATCAGGCTCTCGCATAGCTGTCTGCTACACTTCGCTGCTGCCACAAACGGAGATCCAGAGGACTTGTCAGTTCCACTCCCACAATCAGACTGCCTTTAGCCAACCATGGCCTCAAACATTTCACCACGCCTCTCAAGGAAGGTATAATCCGATTAACCTTATCCCTAGAGCGGTAACCTTGATCCTAGAAGCCTGACGAAGAATAATTCCTCTTTCCAGGAATTATTAATTTGGCTAAACTGCTTCGGTCTTAATCCATTGACCTTTCTTAGATATGTGATCCATAGTCTGTCTACTTACATGTACTTCCAATCATCATTGGTTAAGTGTTGTAGTAATGATCCTCTAGCTAATAATTCCTACTAACTTGTGGATTACAACACCAGGATACCTTGACGATCTGGGTGGACAGCGACAATCTTGCCTATAGGCCACTCTGACCTGGGTCCATCACTGTCGACTAACACTAGGTCTCCTGGTTTCAGTAGAACTTTATTATAGAGGCTCGAAGCTCCATAATGGTATTCTCGGTGAGATGTTCACAAGTCCATACTTCATTGCACTTCTCTATTATCATTGAAAGATGTTTATAACTTTCCACCAAGTCACTCCTATCAACATGTGAATGGTCAGCTGGATCTTCATCTGCTAGAGATATTAGCGGGCTCAGAAGACCACCATGAATTAAGTGCAAGGGACTCAGGGGTTCTCTCTGGGAGAAGTCATCTGTAAGGTAGGTCAATGGTCTGTTGTTGACTCGTGCCTCAATTTTTGTGACAAGGGTTTGCAGTTCAGTGAGATTAATTTTCTGCTGATGTAAGGCCTTTCTTAGGCATTTCTTAACAGTTCCCACCATCCGCTCGTAAAAACCACCTTGCCAAGGGGCGGTGAGATATAAATCTCCGGGAGGTATAAATTTCCAGTGGCATTGTCTCTGTTTTAATACTGATTGTACCTCTGGATGGTTCCATATCTCTCGTAGACAGACTTCGGTCAAAAAATTTGACCCATTATCTGAAATCATCAATCTGGGGCAGGATCTGCGTGCAGCATATCTACGAAAAACTTGGATATATGCTTCTGCACTCATGTCAAAAGTTACTTCTAAGTGTACGCCTCGTGTGGTTGCACACGTGAAGAGGCAAATGTAGGCTTTAACCAGAATTTTATCTGGCGTGCCTGTTAACATTAAGGCTCCTGTATAGTCAACACCTGTTGTCTCAAAGGGACGAAGGTGAACAACTCGTTCCTTAGGGAGTGGTGAAGGTCCTTGGTAAGGACACACTCAAGCGTCATATCTTCTACAGACTTCACATAATTTATTAAGTGATTACACAGTTTGGCGACCTTGGGGAAACCAAAATTTCTGTCGAAGATCGGTGAGAGTGTCTAACACTCCACCATGTAAAGTGTCATATTGATGGTGATGTAAAACTATAAGTTTGGTGACGTGGTAAAAGTATTGGATTTTTAGTCTCCAAGTCAATCTCTGCATGAAGCAGACGTCCTCCACACCTCAGTATATTATGGTGATTTGAATCACAGCAGATGCCCAGAGACGTAGTTAGTATGTCTGGAAGATGTTCATACTCATTTCCATTAGCCTCTTGTTGAGCACGTTTGATCCATTATTTGATAGGTCTGGGAAATCGATATCTAATTCTTATCTTATTAAGAAAATCGAATACGTGTGCAGTTACTCTTAGTAACTTACTTAAACTAGAATAATTATGAGGATTGATAGCCAAGGATCAAGGAGGTTCTGGGTCCACCGTGGGTGCAGTGATATTGGTCACTATGACTTGTGGCTTTTGTTCAGTGTCGGAAAATCCGCCACTGACCACTATAAACAAGTTACCCATAGAAAACGGGGGAATTACCCATTAAACCACATCTGATTTTGCTGGGAATTATTCTTTAATTAGCTGTTTTAATGTTAAACCTCTTGATAGCAAATTTAGTAATCGGCTGGATTGTCCTTAGTAGGGACATGTTTACTTGGACGTAGTGTTTATATCCAGCAGATACAATTCATGTATTTCCCTGACTCGGTTACTAACGTAGGGGAGTTTTCTTTTGTCATATATAGGATTCTGGCTTCACAGCTAGCGCACTTTTGACAGGTATTATTTCAAAGAGGATAATTTGGTGTCTACACCCTAGTTATACCTGGTGGACTAACCTGCTGTACTATAAGATTACATATATATTAATTTAATAACCCCCCCTAATGTGTAGAGGATCGATTTGTGAGATTATGAGATTACAGTCCACTTATCATTATACAAATTGCTATCGAAGTATATAAATTAACGTAAATATAAATTCATATAAATTAAATAAATATAAATCTCACAGGTCGGTTCCCACATTATTTGGTCCTGCCTCATTGTCTTTGACCACACTACTATCTCACCAAAGTGAATATTACTGAGTGTCTTCAGCGGTTTCATGCACACCCACAGATTTGGTGGAGTGTTATTCTGTGAAATGACAGCGTCAGGCAATGAGCCAACATTAATGAATGGTGCAGACCCTATTTTGGGTGTAATTTTTATCAACTCTTACTAGGGTGATATAGAAGAGCTAACCTAAAGGTACTTCCAGTCCTATTTTAAGTGCTAACCTCTAGTAACTAGTGAAGGCAGTCAGCTCCATTTCAAGCAGCTGCAGGTAAATTTGAGGGTAAGCCTGAGGAGACCTATGCCTGCAGATAAACAATACCAGTAGTAACCTAAATTTGTCAGCTGATTATATTTCTCCAGTACCTCAGAGGTTGATGTTAGTATCATTTAAGTTCATGAGGCCTCAGTGGCAAATCAGTGAACAGTAGCCTAAAACAGCTACAAGTCACTGCGACCAATGTCACTGAACCCACTGCAGTCTCAGAACCATACTTTACTTTAATGATGAGGGGCTGTAGTACTTGATCACATCCAGTCTTCTGGGTTAAATAATATGTAAAAGGCTTGAATACTCTCGAAGGAGGAGTATCGGTGTTCGTCTGTTCTAATTAGGACTTCGAGTAGGGACATGTTTCAATTTATATCCAGCAGATAATTCATGTATTTCCTTGACTCGGTTACTAACGTGTTATTAAGTAAGACTGCCTCATTTCAAGTATGTTTATTGAGATAAGAAAGAAATACATCTCAAAGGGATAGAGTAGCTTAGGCTATTTCTACCCCCCTCATCTGCCTCATTGTCTGACCACACTACTATCTCACCAAAGTGAATATTACTGAGTGTCTTGGTCAGGCAATGAGCCAACCTTACACCTACTAACAAGGCAGTCAGCTCCATTTGGGGTCAGGACCTCTATTTAATTGGGGCAACTCTTGCCTTTGAAGTAAGCAGAATTGACTGTTGTGTATTAACTAAATAGGCTACTGCGCCATATGCTTTGCCTGATGCATCACAGAACACATGTAAATCTGTGGGTAAGTTTAGTCTTAAGGCGTTACGTGGAAATTTCAGAACACTTAATTGATTAAAATCCGTTGTTAGTATCTGCCATTTGTCTTGCAGCTCAATTGGTAACGATCATCCCAACTCAAATTTTTCTGCCAGCACTCCTGCATGAGGAGTTTGTTCCTAATTAAAATAGGACTAAGCAAGCCTAAAAGGTCAAATGGTTGACTGACATGAGAGCAATTTTCTCATAGTTAGGGGTAATTTATTAGTTTGTACTGACTTGACATTCATCTCGTCAGTAATTGTGCTCCATTCCATGCCCAGAATTTTTAATTTATTAGGTACCTGATAGCCGAGAAATTCTTTCTCGATTATCTGGTTTAATTGTCGATTATTAGAGGCCCATGATTGTAAAGGCATATTGGCCCCTAGCAGCTCACGGTTAGCCTCATGGTAAATTTCTACCAATTTAATTTCATCATTAGTAGTTCCTTGGAAGTTGTCCACGTACAGGTTGTTACTGATTTCAGTCTTATAGGAACTCTTCGATTTCTTCAGATGAGTGTCCAAGGTAGCTTGGAGTAAAAATGGTGACGGAGTGGCTCCGAATAATACTAAGGCAAACCGGTAAGTGATGACGTCACTATTAGGATCCTGTGGATCCTTTACCCAGAGAAATTTAGTAAAGTCACGATCCTCTTTTTGCAAGCCTACTCTTAAAAAGGTTTACTGATATCTGCAGTTTAGGCGAAAATGCCAGAGCGGAATCGTAACAGTACATCTTGTAGCCTCTGTTTTAAGCTAGGTCCAATTTGTAGACAATCATTTAATGATATGCTGTCTGTTCTTATTGTGGCACTGTAGTTGAAGACTATTCTTATTGGTGTCGTCACTGACTCTTTCATGACAGCATGATGTGGTTAATAATGACCCATTTTATGGTTATCTTTATCAATAACTTCTATAAATTTACTGTTAAGTTGTTGTTGTATTAATTCATGATACAGTTTCAATTTATCAGGTTGTTTCTGTAACCTTGCTAATTGAAATTTTAATTGGGATGCTGCCATAAAATAATTTACTGGGAGTTGTGGGTTATTCAACTTTCATGGCAGCATCATCCAAAACTGTTTATCTTTGTACACAACAGTATCAAGATAGCCGGGAGATAGTTGGGAGCCGGTCGACCGAGCGGACAGCATGCTGGACTTGTGATCCTGTAGTCCCGGGCACCGGCAAGAAATAATGGGCAGAGTTTCTTTCACCCTATGCCCCTGTTACCTAGCAGTAAATAGGTACCTGGGTGTTAGTCAGCTGTCACGGGCTGCTTCCTGGGGGGGTGGAGGCCTGGTCGAGGACCGGGCCATGGGGACACTAAAGCCCTAAATCATCTCAAGATAACCTAAAGATATTACTGGTAAGTCCATGTATCATCTCGACTAGGCTTTTCAGGGACTATACCCAAGGTGTCTAAATTCCACAATTTATGTACAGGGGATCAGGCTAATTATCCTCAGATATGTCTCTGATCTGTAGGGGTGACTGTTCCGAGCCTAGTCATGCCACTATAGCATGATTTGGTTGTTTGCCAGTTGAAGTAGAATTTTGCTGAAAAAGCACTGGTTCTGTTAGCAATTTGCCTCCAGCTGATGACAACAAATTCATACCGTGTTGTCTAGTGCATCCAATTATAAATCTATAATAGTAATCAGCTCCAATAAGGATCCCAACATCACTGAGACAATCTGAGTTTATATTGTAGTCAGCTAGTCTCATGCCGTACGCTTGAGATGTTCAACAGTGTGAGCAAGACCTGAAACCTGCAGGTTAGAAGGAATCTTGTCCATAACTACTGCTTGTATTTGGCTGGTGGAGCCTCCCAGGCATACCAATAACTTAACTACTTGGTAGTCCCGAGGTCCACTATTTGTCAGGAATCCAGAGATATATAATTTTACTCCATTGTCGGTTTTCAATTTCAACTGCTCAACTAAGTGTTGTGTAATAAAGGTCTTCTTTGAACCTTGGTCAAGAAGATCTCGAGTGTTAACTCTAGATTTCTTGTTAATTAACTTTGATTGAGCTGTGGGTGTCGTCGATGTCCGTGTTGGGTTACACGCTCCGCTGCTTGTACCGGGGTCAACCGCGCACCTGTTATCGGTGTGGTCACGAGGGTCACCTGGCTGCGGCGTGCGACGTGGGTGCAACTGGTAGGGTGCATGTTTTTTCGTGCAGAGGATTTCCCGCCCTTGTTACGTTCGGACGGTTCTGAGGATGGAGTAGGTGCTGTGCCTGAGGCGCCTGATTGCCTGTCTGCTGCTCCGCCTGTTGGGGCGAGTTCTACGGCGACACGTCAGGTGACTGCTATGGCCCCTGGGGTTGTTGAGCCGGTGTGTGGGTGTCGGGCCGTCGTCTGAGCTGCGTGTAGTGAAGGATGTCTCGGTGGAGGTCCATGTCCCGCCCCCGCCTGTGGATGTGATACCGGCTCCCGGGGACGCGGGTTCTGCTGTTTTAGAGGGGGTGCTTCGGCAGGGGGAGGTGCCTGCCGTGTCTGTGTGTGTTGGTGAGTGTAGTTCTGCTCTTTCCGTCCCTTTGCAGAAGCGTGCGCGTCGGTGTTCTGAGGCTGTTTCCCTGGATGATGTGGACAGTGTGGGTGATGTGGCCTCTGTGGACTCTTCGGACGGTGCGGGTGTGGCCTGTGTGGATGTAAAGATGGTGGCCGTGCCTGCGGCGGGGCCTGCTGGGCGTGGTGTGGTGAGGCCTGTCTCGAAGCGT